TACCAAATCACTTGAAGATGGTTTGACATATGCTCAGATCCACCATGCAATTTTCATCAGCCACACTACACCCATCAGAAAGAACCATGGTACAACAGCTAAATTCAATTCAGCTGTCCAGAAGATTGGATGATTTGGACCAAAACCTATCCACTGCTGAGATGGCTGTATCTTGCATCATGGCCCTCCATCAAACCCCTGAAGGATGTAATTCCGGGTACTGCAAGATGTGTCAATTACTCCAAACCCAATATGGCATCAATCTTCACAAGTTAGCCATACTTTTGAGTATCCCACATCTGCCTGAATAAACACTGACTTAACAGGTCACATTGTTTTTTGGGATTTAGCATGACTGTGGCAGTGATAAATTGGACACTGGACCCTAGTGGTGTTGATAACCAGGCCCCTGATAACCGAGCCAAGAGAGTTCTCAAACGTTGGGTTATCAACACACCTCCTCGACTGCGCAGACTTTGGAGGTTTAAGATAAAAGTTCTATGGTAGCCAAGACCGTTGTTCTCTGGCCGTCGTAATGCTGCTTTAGAGAACTGCTCATTATCTGTCCGAACTGACCAAAAGATGTCATTACGTCCGCCAAACTGGTGGCTTTGACCAGTTGCGCTATTCGAATCTTTGTAGTCTGTTGATCCTCAGGTGTGATCCTGTCGATGAGATGCATTGCGTCCTGAGTTGGGTACCGTCGGTCAATATTGGTTGCTGCTGGATTTCTCTCTCCAAGATGTTGAAGTCCTCTAGGATGAAGGAGGTTCGGCAACCCGGGCACAAGGCAAGGCTTACCTTTTTGCTTTGGGTTTGCAACGGTGAGCGACCAAGTTCTACAAGAATGGTCAAACCCGGATAAATTTAGCCGAGGCCCGGCCGGACATGGCAGCTTGTCAAACGAGCCGACTGAAAGCGGATCGGTTGTGTCAGAGGATCCAGAAAGGGGGGGGGGCGGCTATTGTGTCGTCGTTCCAGATTTCTAAGAGGAGCGAGTCGTTTGTCCCAAGACAGAAAAAGTGATAATAACTAGATTCAGAAGAGAGAAGAGAGAGAAAAAAAAACAAGAAAAAAAGCAAAGATCGAGATTGTAGTGTCCAGAATGGTCACTACCAATTTGATTCGTTTGGGAGCAACCGAAACGGGTTGCTCCTTGAGTGCCGGCAATTCTTGGATGAGATACGGCCGGAGACGGCCAAAATACATCAACTTCTCTTTTGGCTTAATCGTTCTCCTCGGCGAGTCCCGATCGGGGCTTGCCCTTCCTCTTCAATTGTATCAGCCTGTTGTCTTCAAAGTTCTGCTTTGGAACGGGGTTGCCTGGTCTCGTTTGTACTGATCCTCTTTGGGTATTGCACACCGATTGGGACTTGTGCACTAAGCTACGAGGCAACAGACGAAACATAAGGGGAAAAAAAAGAAGGGAGACAAGGGATGGCTCGGTCCTGTAGCTACCCATGCTGAAGGCATAAAAGGAGGGGGGGGGATGAATGTAAGGACTCCGTCGAGTCCTTCACTGTCTGTCGGAGATAGGCACTAGAGATGAGCTCAGTAGCTCCAGATGGGAAGTTTCTAGTACCAACGTGGATTTATTGCATGTCTAGACAGGAGAGAAAGATCTCTCAGTTAGTATTTACAAGTGGAGGAAATGGAGGAAAGAAAATGAGAAGAGAGGGAAAGAAGATAAGGTACTTACCTAGACAGGAGAGAAAGATCTCTGCTGTCTAGGTAAAGGGGAAGAGTGAGACTAAATATAACCCGGGATAGGCTTATGTAAGCTTGTGACAGGTTTGTGTAAGCCTGTGAGGAGCAGGGCTTACAATGAAACTTGCCCTCCTCGCAACCCAACTCAAGTGAATCCTTTCTGCTTATAGACCCACCAGCGATGACTTTCAACACCGAGTGGATTCCTAACGCCAAGTTCTCCGGCGGCGCGTTTTCTGCCGGCGCAGCCGATCCAAACCCTTTAATCAACGTAGACACAGCCCGCTTGAATGATGGAGACTCCATCGACAACAGTTCAATTGCTTCTGACGACGAATCGAATATTGCTAGATCCGCTGTTGACCCCTTAAACGAAACACCCGGCGCCATTGAGCACTCCACCCACAGTGCTTCGCCTCCTGCGTATCGCTTGGAAGCGCTACCCCCTGGTCCTCCTCAGAATCCAATTGAAATAGAAGATGAAGAAGTGGATAACAAGCCCACGAATAATGACAAAATAAATGGCTATGAAAGACTAAACAGCCCAAGGTTTGACCCCGTCAAAATCATTCCTTTCCAAGCAACCATCATTGGTGAAGAGGAAGTCCTTTGCGCTTGAGAGCGCATAAGCAGATGGTTCCATAACCATATCCTACACAACTCCCAAAGAGTTTGGGAGGTCAATCCTGTCATGCCCGCACCGCCGCTGGACCAGTGGAAAGTATTGGACGACCAACAAACTTATGGACTCCGTGTTTGAGGAACTGGATGGGACCCCATTAAAATGACGGTACACAGTGCCGCAGGTGAAAATATCTATGAATCAACTCAATGCGGGGAAGCGTTATTCAAGATGTTGTCCAGCTCCTCCAAGACGGATTGCATAAGTTCATTGGTCGTCCAATACGTTTTCACTGGTCCAGTAGCGGCACGGGCATGTCTGGATTGACCTCGCAAAACTCTTTGGGAGTTGTGTTGGATATGGTTATGGAACCATCTGCTTATGCGCTCTTGAGCGCAAAGGACTTCCTCTTCATCAATGACGGTCACTTGGAAAGGAATGATTTTGACGGGGTCAAACCTCGGGCTGTTTAGTCTTTCATAGCCATTTATTTCGTCATTATTCCTGGGCTTGTTATCCAATTCTTCATCTTCTATTTCAATTGGATTCTCAGGAGAACCAGGGGGTAGCGCCTCCAAGCAATATGCAGGAGGCAAAGCACAGTGCCGCAACGATGCGTCGCTACTCTACGCTACAATATCTAGACATTTGGGTAGCGTACATGCGTCAGGAGGTGCCCCGCTACTCTAGCGCTAGCCGTAGCGGGAAAATTTCCCCTGGAGCCGTAGAGTAATGCTTGGCAAGGGGTTTACCCCTGGAAAACAGCAAATATCACTTGTTTGACAATGGATAGTGCGCCAAGGCTGTTTCAGGGGTGAAACAGCCTTCAAATCCTTAGAAAATCACTGGATTATAATTGACTGGTGGCAGAAAACTCATCTGCCGCCAGCTCCCCCCCGCCAATTACTAAAAAAACAAACACACACATCCACATCCCGAATCCTCTCATAGACTCATACCAATCAACATGGCACCAGAGAACCCCCATTCCAAGGCCAGTGAGCACGAGACCCCCGACGCTGGTGCTGGCTATACAACTGATCAATCACAGACTCAGTCTCAGCTCCGTCGTTCAACCCGTGCCTCTTCTGTGGTTGCGGCTCCAAACATGGTTGCCCCGTCATCAGATTCTCGAGTCCGAGTAAACCTCCCTGGCCCTCCAAAACAATCAGCCGCATGTTCATCAGATGGTGAATCAGCTCAGTCAATCGCATCGGCAAGATCTAAGCGCACCAAGAAGAAGCCACGTACGCGTGTTTCCCCGGCAAGTACAACTGACCAGACCCACAAATCTAGACCCAAGGCCAAGAAGTCAAAAGGCACAAGCACAGCATCAGAGGTGAGTAGAATGCATTCATATGATGCACATTTTGCTTTTCCGAGATGATTGATCTGTCTGATCTTCTTATTTCCAGTTACAGTCAAACACTGCCACTGAGCCTGCATACGATTATGACCAGGACAGTGGCAACGAATCCATTGAGATTCAGCCACGAGGTGATGCTAAGACAAAAAAGGCGGCAAAGGAGGCGGAAACAGCGGAGCTCCTCCGATACTTTGAGACGCCTTACTGGAAGAAAGGCGACGCACCCGGCACAGCACTCAACTTCAAGTGCAAGTGGTGCAAAGGAATCTATCGCCGACAAAAACTCTCACACGGAAATCTTAAGACCCACCGAGATGGATCCACACAAGAGGACAAGTGTGATAGAGGTTGTCCTGGGCGCGATTAAGGCCAAGAAGGCTGGATTTACCTTACCGCCTTCGGTAGCTGAACGCCGGGCTTTGGAGCTGCAAGATGGGGACAAGGCCACACAGCAAGGAATAAAAGGTTTCCTTGAGTGTAAGCCCGTCTTTGTAAACCGGGTCTTGAACCAAATTGTGATGATCTGGCAGATCCGCCAGGCCTTGCCGTGGAGTCGCATCGAGGACCCTTTCCTTCGCACTACATTTCAATATACCAACAGCAAGGCACAGCTCTACGGACGGCGATGGTTGGCTGATGAATCCCAGAAACTCTATGATATGCTCAAGTCTCAAGTTTTTCATGAGTTGAATGTGAGTGTAGATAAATTTATTTGTGCTCTGAATTTATTTATGTATCCATGTGCTTACCTCTGTGGCACTAACTTTTGTCAAAATTAGAATCTTGACACTAAGTTCACCCTCATCCATGACGTATGGACGACAAAGGGGAACCGCTTTGCCTTCATCGGCGCTGCTGCAGCTTTTATTAACAATGAATGGGAGTACACAGTGCGCCACTTGACTCTCAAGATGATTCCATGGAAGCACAATGGACATCTCTTGGCTCGGCCCATTGCAACACTCCTGAAGAAAAAACAACTTTACAAAAAGATAAGTTGAAAAATACATGTTCATTACTCAAATTGAAATACGTGTTCTCAATCCAAATTCTGACATAATCTCATGTTCATTTTTTTACATGCTGGCACAGACCACTGATTCCGGGTCTAACAACAATACAATGGCGAGTGAAATGTACAGCTTGCTCCTTGGCAATGATGTGAACACAACCGATGGTTCAAATTGGGACCCAACAAGCATGCACATACCATGCATTTGCCATAAGTTTGCTCTCATTGTAAATGCTGGCCTTGCATCGCTGGCGCTCAAGACCCTCCCACCGGCAAGAGCTAAAGATTCTGTATTGGGATTCTTCCCTGTACTCGGCAGGCTGATTGAGGAGGAAGAGGAGGAGGAGACAGGACCATCTCAGCCTGTGAAATCTCCTGGGGATTCAGTTGTAACTGTTACAACTGATTTGCCTCGTATCAATGTGGAGTCAGACAGCGATTATGGAACACCAACGATGAAGGATCCGATTCGGAAGTGGCCAATGCTAAGGCTCCCGATCACAATGATTCGAGTGGTGATGAAGCGAGTGACATTGTAGCTAAGGAGACACCAACCCCAGTGGCAACAACGGCTACCAGTACAAACAAACATGTCAAGACATCAAAACTTCTGGAGCTTACTAATAAGGTATGTTCATTCTTGGCTCCCTTGTTTCTTTGGTCACTTAAAGTTGAACTGAACCTCTATTATTAGCTTGATGTTGTGATCAAACAGATCACCCGTTCAGCTGCCCAGCGGGCAAACTTTGATCGTGTGGCTCAAGAACTTGGGGTAAAAGTATCCCCCTTGATTGCTGGCTATGGTATTCGATGGAATATCAAATACCAGAGTCATAAGAAAGCAATTGATGCTCGCGAGGTGATAGACCAGATCCTCAAGGAAGATCAAAGCAAAAATGGCCCAGGGGACTTTGGAGAAGCTTATTTCTCACCGCGGGATTGGAAAGAGATTGATAATCTCAATCGCGAGCTGGAGGTGAGGTCCTGATTCATCTTCATGTCTAGTATTCGGAATCGAGATTGGTATTGTTTCTGATTGATAACAATGCAGGTGTTTGTCAAGCTGACCTCCGAAATGGAAGGCAACTCGGCAACAGGAACACATGTTATTCCGAAGTATCTCGACCTCAAAGAGGGGCTCACTCAAAAAATCTCGGCCTCGAAGGAAACCGAGTCGCTTTACCCGATGTACCACGCGATGTTGAAGAGGGTTGAAAGGTACCTGGATGAAGCATTAAGATGTGAAACCCTTGTCATGGCCACTATTATGCACCCATGCTACCGGGTGCACCTGTTCGAGCTTGGCTATGGTGTTGAAAGCGATGAGGCATCGGATGCCCTCAAACTTCTCAAGAGGCACTTTGATCTAGTAAAGCTTTGTACAAAGGTGCAGGAAATCAACCCAGACCCCGATGTAGTAGAAATTGCAAAGCCTGCACCCGTCCCATCCAGCTCAATTCTTGGTCGCTTAACATCTCGCATGACTCAACAACCAACAGCCCAGGAAGACAAGATTGAGGCGTATCTGAAGGCGGATATACACTTCAGCGCTGATGATCTAGACCACAAGTCAACCCCGTTGAAGTGGTGGAAGGTACAGTTGTTTCCCAAAAACTGCATCGACACAAATTAAAGATCTGACCCGGTTGATTTTTGCCCTTCAGGCCAACCACAAAAATTACCCAACACTGGCAATCTTGGCTCGTCGGTACCTAGGAGCAGCTGGAAGCTCCTGCTCCGTTGAGAGGCTCTTTTCTGCAGCTTCCGACGTCTGCAGTAGCAACCGAGGCAAGCTGCTCCCATCAACTATGTCTCACTGTGTCTCCAGCCTCATGTGGCTTCGCGAAGACATCCCGTTGACAGGAGACTTCACACAGGCTGGAAAGGCTTTGAAGTCGTTGATTCCTTCAAAAAAAACCCCTATGTAATTACTTTCTTCCCGCACAAAAAAGAAAATAAAAACGTCCAATTGATACGATAGCGTATAATCAAGAAAAAAAACCCCTTTGACCAAGAGATAGAGTAGCGCGCCAACGCTACTCGTAGAGTAGCCGTAGAGGCCCAAGTGCCGCTACTTTACCCTTACGCTACCGCTACACGTAGCGTAGGGACCCATCGTTGTCTCCATGGGACCCATCCCTGGGTCCTATGGGATAAGGCGTGACCTCAACCCATATTAATATGGTTTTAGGTTTGCAGGTTGGTGTGTGTGCCTGCACGCCAACCTGCAAGCAAGGTAAGTGAGCATGCCTTGCTTATAGTTTGGCGTCAAAATTGGTGTGCAGGTCCGCATGCCAACCTGCTGGGGGAATGCCCCTGCAGATTGTTGGAGTGTGGACCCGCATGCCAATTTAAATTGGTGTGTGGTCCCACACTCCTCTCAGAGAAGGGAGTGTGGGAGTGAATGCACAAAGGGGAGGGAGTGTGGTTATCACTCCCCTAAAAAATAATATTGATAATGAAAATTTCCAATAGTGACCAACAAGAAGTATAGGACATATGAAAATAAAAAATTGAGACATACAAGAGGGGTAGAAGGAGTAACCAACACAGAAAAGATAGAAGAATAAGTAAAAGAGGATGGATGAGTTTGAAGCTTCAGGTTGATCAGGAATAGTT